ATAACGGTAGTGATTTTATGTAACGGTTGTATCATAGTAGAATGCAACCACACTTCTAGAAAACCATAGTTGTAGTGGTTGAACTAAAACTGTCATTAATTTGGAGAAATGAAAAATGGATTTTGAAATATAGAAATAGGCAAGTAATGGACCATTTTAAAGAAGGGATTGTACCCTATGAAAATATTTATCTTTGTTACAAGTAAATTACAACTGTTAGTAGCCATTAGATATCAAATTGGATAGCTTTGGTTATATTACATAGTTCAAAAAATTCATTTTACACATTAAATCTAGCTAGTTACGCAACTAACCCATTTGAAATATGAGAGTGATTATGACCAATTTGTAAATGGATTTTGAATTATAGAAATAGACAAATAATGGACCATTTTAAAGAAAGGGTTGTAGACTATGAGAACATTTATCTTTGTTACAAGGATACCACAATGGCTACTAGCTATTACATGTCAAACTAGACGACTTGGGGAATGTCACAAAGTTCGAAAAATTATTTTGAAACGATGAGTCTAGCCAATGGCACTCACAGCTAACCAATTCGAAATTTGATAGACAAGAGTGATTATAACCTCCTTGTATTAAAACTAAGTGGTCTCTTTGTATACCTTTCCTTTAGAATATACGGCTATGTGATCAAGGTAGCAAAGAATCACATGGCACCTTAACAAGTAAGGGATCCCTTCCAATTGAACTGCCCAATAAGGCTGAAAAGACTATTTTAAAGTTTACCCTTAGGTCTTGGACATTTATCAACATTCATCTCGATTTTTTGCAAACTGTTGAATTTTTACTATTTTTGAGCTGTGGATGTGTCTATAATCTTCTTTCCGATGGAATTTTGGAAGCGAACCACATTTGAATGAATTCAAAGGAAGAACCCCATTTTCAATTTATTTGTTAAAACACCTATTTAGTGTCTCAACTATGAGATGGATTTTGGACAAAAATTTACTAGGTGGATAATCCCCACCACCCCAATCAAACTGGATTGCAAAAGTGATTTCAGACCCAAAAAAATGGTCCATTTCAAACTTTTTTGTTGAACTCATGCATTTTAAGGTAAGCATCATTTTTCAAGATGCAAATTATGGAAGTAATAAAAATGTTTTTCAATGATTTTAGGAAGCACTTTAAACCCCATCTCCACATAAAATCAATATGAACTCATGCGGATATACTAATGCACTTTAAACCCAATCTTCATACTCTTTATTTTTAAGTTTTATATCTAAATAGACTCAAAGTTTCAAAACATATCTCGAGTCATAAAAATTCGAAGTTTTATATCTTTAGACCTCCTAAACTAACTTTATCCCCTTAAACTTATTTTTTTGCCCCAAATATATGTAAGAAAAACATATATTTTCTAAACACCATCTTTCTCTCTCTTCACATGATTTGTCCCTAAATCTCTCTCTACCTATTTTCTCATTCTCTCTCCCCCTGTGTCTCTCACTCTCTCTCTCCCCCATTAGAGAGACAAAAAGAGCGAATGTTAGAGAGAAATTTATCACGTTAGAAAAAGCATGCCTTTTTTATATTAGTTAAAGCTAAAAATAATAATTAAAAGTATGTAAAGTTAATCAAGGAGTTAAGAGATATATTTTGAATCTTTGAATCTATTGATATATGAAAACTAAAAGAGAATTATCCTATAGGACCCTCCCCCACCTATGTATGTAAAACCTTAAAAGATCACTATTAAATTTGGCACAAATTTATAAAAAAGTCGAGTCCCACACCCATGTGATGACTTTTTTAGAGATCTGTGCAACTTTAATGGTAATCTTTTGGTATCCTACATACCTGAGTGGGGGATGGTCCTATAAAATCATTACTGAAACTAAAAATAGGATATTTTCCCTTAAAAATTTACCCTTTAAAACTATTCCAACTCAAGACCATGTGTTATTTCATGGGTCTTCTGAAATTAAATTAAAAAATATGGATAAAGTGTTAAATTGTTAATCTTTCATGAATAATCTGATAAATTCCCCACTAAAATATTGCTTCTCAAATGTTTATGGTATACAATATTTACTTATTTGAATGTTTCTACGCGTGATTATATCTAGCTAATTTTGGGTAATGTTTACATGGCCAGTCAAAGATAGCATATATTGTTTTTTTAGCACAAGGACTTCTGCATGGGCAGTGAGATTTTGAAGGCCATTGTACATGACTCGGATAAGTGAAAATGCCACTCCAATGATCCTGGCATGAATAGTATACTCAAGTTGGAGCATACCATACACTTAATCTCTCAAATAGAAGACCCACTTAGTAAGATTTTTCTTTTTCTTTTTTAATATTGGAATACATTTTAGATTCACACACTACTCTATATAATTATCACCATCATCGAAGTCTTATCTAGTCTTTTCTTAACTATTTGAGATCAAATAACTTTAAAAAAAATTTACAATAAAAAAGGGATTGTAAATTATAAGGCCATTTATTTTTTATACAAGGAAGTAAAAATCAATTTTAGGACTGAATGTAAAATCCAATAAATTGAAGTGTTTCACAAAATTCCCAAAATTTTATTGCAAACATTGTGTCCAATCAATGGCACATCCACAACTACCCAATTTCACATTCAATAATCAATAATGATTTTGACTTTCTTGTATGAAAAATAAATAGCTTATTATATATATTTCCATAAAAATAGATTTTATACCCTAGATTATTTTTGAGTTGCTTAATCCAACATTTTCAGTCTTTCAATGGCCATCCCTTTTTAGTGAAAATTATGAATTATTTTGAAATATGTATCCTAGACACCTCATTTTTGCTGCCGCTAGCATGCCAACACTTGGGACTCTAGCTGGATCGAGTTTTCTCCTACAAACCATTAGTGCACAAGTTTTTCTACTGGAAATAATGAATAACCTTATAATATGTTAAATAGCCATCTCAAGTTTTTATGTTGCTGGCATGTCAACACTTGAACATTGTGTCAACAATTCCAAACACTAAATGCAAGTGATTAAAGACTTGAGACCACATGAGTTAGCCTCACAATCCTGGAGACAAAGTTTCACCCTAAGCTCCATATTATTCGTTAAAAATGATAAATCTAACTTCAAAATCGAGACTCACCCAAGTCAGAACAAATGACTCGAGCTCAAGAACTTAAATAGATCCAGGCCCGAGTGCTAGATCTCAATCCCTTTTAGAGAGAAGAACAAGGTCTAAACCAAAGACATTGTACCAAGCCCATACAATCTGCTGCTGTTGCACCAACCACGTTTAAATGTATCAAATATGAATTACTTATTACATACATTAAAATTCTATTATTTATCATAAAATAATAATAACAATAATGATAATAACAACAAAAACAATATGTATTTCCATACTGGCTTTCTAGGCCAAATTAGACACTTTCAACAGT